TGAAAACCTAAATGATTCAAGTCTCCGTAAGTTGGTGACGAAAGCTTTAGAGTGCGCTGACAGATATCATACAGCGCTTCATTGTCGATGCAAAACGTTTCATCCGTATTTTCGACTAATTGATGTACAGTGAGGGTTGCATTGTAGGGCTCCAAAACAACGTCAGAAACCTAAATGCTTTTTAGCAAAGTATCCTCAAGTAATTTTGAAATAATTATTGATAAATTTCTAAATTTTTGAGTGTTTTTGTGCAACCGGTAAATAATTCTTTTTACCTTCGGTGACGGAAAGACGGAGAACGATGCCATAATTCTATCTGGATACTCTTCGCGGATTTTCGCTATTAACAACGTACCCATGCCAGATCCAGTTCCTCCACCCAGCGAGTGAGTTAATTGGAATCCCTAAAAAACAAGCACCAGTTTATTATCACTTAATAGTTTATATTTTAAACAGTACTTATATTATTAAGCAAAAGTTTTTTTTTGATTCACTTTATTCACTTTATAGCAGTCCCTCTAATTCTACAAACGCTCAACAGGAGAAACCCATCTTCCAGTAGAAGCTTTTTAGTACTGCGAAGAAATTATTTACCTGTAGGCAGTCAGAACTCTCAGCCTCTTTTCTAATTACGTCGAGCACTTCATCAATTAGTTCAGCTCCTTCTGTGTAGTGACCTTTAGCCCAGTTGTTACCAGCTCCTGTTTGACCAAAAACAAAATTGTCAGGGCGAAATATCTTTCCGTACGTTGATGATTTCACTGCGTCCATCGTTCCAGGTTCCAAATCAACAAGCACAGCTCGAGGAACGTATTTTCCGCCTTGGAAAAAAGACGAAATCATTTGTGTTTTTTGAGCAAATCTACAGAATCCCTTTCTTCATTAGTAGCAGAATTTTTTTTACTTCTTTTCAACAAGTATTTCAGAAAAACTCTAATATGTCATTATTTCTTACAAATGATATTTTATCACAGTATTTTTCTAGAACTGTAAAGTGCTCCCAAACAATTTTAAACTATTTGGCTAAACATTTAGAAGAAGTTATTGAGCACCGACTACCTTGAGCTTCATTATAGTAGACCTCAATTCGCTCTAATTGTAAATCAGATTCTCCTTTGTATGAACCGTCGGACTGTACACCGTGCTCATCAGAAATCACTTCCCAAAACTGAAATTTATGATTAACTATAATATGCAAATTAAAAAATATTTTGCTAAAAGTATGGCACTCCACTTTTTATTATTAATATTACTGCTATTATTGGCATTATTATTTTATCATTATTACCACTGTCATTATTATTGTTACTATCATTATTATTATTGTCAACTTATCATTATAATTTAACTATTATTACTACTATTATCACCATTAGAAAAGTGTCAAAAACTATTCACTTTACATGTACAAGTTTCCTAACTGTTTTTATATGTGAGAGAAAAAATATTAATAAACTTTTTTTTAATTATGAGATAATGACAAGACAAATGAAGCACCTTAGTTCCGATTTGATTTCCGCATTGACCGGCTTGAATGTGAACAATTTCACGCATTTCATTCAAAAAGTTCTTTTTTCCTTTTGTTGTCTTATTTCTTCAAGATTTGCAGCAAGTAACTAGCTGTTGATGAGGATTTTATAAGATAGAAATAATAGTTATCTGTAAAACGGCGTTCCTTTAGATGATTATTACTAACCTAAACTGACATTTGTAAAGAAGCTCTGCTAAAGTGCAAATTAGCAGTACCAAAAATGATCAAAACAAATTTACCTTTGTCGCAGAACTGCAACAGATATCTGCTGCTTATTATGGTAATCAAATAAATTTCTGAATTACAGTGTGCACTACGAAACAAATGATGCAGAAATGCTCGAAAACTACCGATTATCAATGGATTTGAAATTTTGCTTGCTAGCTAAACGAATTTTCTTAGAAAACATCGGCTTATTTAAGCAAAGGCTACCGATTCCAATTCAAAAAATCATAACATCTGCTTGAAAAATTCGCAAGTTCTAAACGAAATATGTCTGATTACTGTTACATTTAAAAGCTTTCCGTCTTTTTTAAGCATTTAGAGCACACTATTACTATTCCACACCACAATCATTTTTGGGTCAGCAATTTATTCAAACATTAACACAAATCTGGTTAACTTTTTCTTGATTTATACTAATTTATGTTTTGTTGAAATCGATATTTACATTTTATTCTAAACTACACTTAAGCGTTCTAGCGTTTAAATACTAATAAATGCGTAAAAAATCTTGAACTGGGAAAAAATGCCAAATTATTTTTTTCTTCGCCGATACTTGCTTTACTCAAAGAAGCAGAAATTTTTGACATAGGTGAAAAGTAGAAAAAATAAAAAAATGAACATATTTTTAACTCTTTTTTTTTTTTTGTTTTAATACTAATTACCAGTCACTAAATACATGTATTTACTCTGTAATATGAATGCATAGTCACTGCAGAAAACTTAATTAGATGTTCCAGTCGCCTAGGTATTTAGCCAAAAAAAAAAAAAGCAATTTGTAGGCAAGATTACAGACTGAAAATTATTCTTAGGTTTGGTTGCAGCAATAGTCATTAATGTACTAGGCAGTTCTGAATTCTACATTTAGTTTTCAGGCTTAGCTAAAGGCTTCTAGCTCTTTCATCAAAAAAAAAAAAA